CCCCACAGCCCCTGCGTGCCCCCAGAGCCCCTGCGTGTCCCCACAGCCCCTGCGTGCCCCCAGAGCCCCTGCGTGTCCCCACAGCCCCTGCGTGCCCCCAGAGCCCCTGCGTGCTCCCACAGCCCCTGCGTGCCCCCAGAGCCCCTGCGTGCTCCCACAGCCCCTGCGTGCCCCCCACAGCCCCCGTGTGCTGAACCACAGGCAGGGAGGGTGACCGGCAGTCCCCCCAACTCGTCAGCCCTGTTTCAGGGTTGTGCCCTCTCGTTTTGTCAGCTCCATCCCTGGGCACCAGGCAGCACACCCAGGTCAGGGGGGTCCCCGGGACTGGACAATGGGAGCCCAAAGGTAGGTTCAGGCCTTCTTCACGGCCGTCGAACGTTAAGGGAGGCTCTGCCCCGTTGCACCCCTCTGAGCAGAGGGGTTGCTGATGAGGAGGAAAGGGAACAGGCCAGCCTCGAACTGGGCACTGCCCCAAAATGAAGGCCTCTGCGTCCCGTCCGTTCCCACAGAAAGAAAACTAAACTGCTCTCCCGGCTGCTCAGAAAGAAAAACAGGTACCCACCTGAGTGCTGCATTGTGGGGGGTCTGAGGCTGGCGCCCCGGCCGGCCTACCCCGTGCATGCGCCTAGCGCCCTGCTCTGCGGGTGCCACTAACCCCTAACCTGTGTCCCCGTGTGTGGTGCTGCCGGCAGTGTGTGGCGCGCGCGCGCGCGCGTGTGTGTCCAGACCTGGAGGTTCACCCGAGGAAGGGAGCCCTGAGGAAGCCCTGGGGGGAGGGCAGGGGAAGGTCCTTGTAGCACAGTGGCGGGTGTTAAAATGTGTGCGCGCGCAGTATGTTTATACGTATGCTTTAAGGAGGCAAATACATTCCCATGAAACACAAATTCAGTAGCTGTGAGAAGGGACCATGATGTCCCTCACACGCCTGCCCCATCATCTAGCCCCCCGCTCCTCCCTGCCCCCCAGACGATGTGGTCACTAGCTTCTTTGGATCCTTCTAGAACTGCCGTCCAGCACTTGCCCCAGGAGGCTGGTGAGCACCTGAAATGCGACCAGTGTGACTGGCAGCTGAACTTTTAGTTTCACTTAATGTAACTTTATGTAACTTAATGTAACTTTAAACAGCTGTCTGCTGCCAGGGGCTGGCCTTTATCGCACTGCTCTACAGTTTCCAAGGGAACAAATATGCATTTTTGTTTTCTGCCCCCTGCCCCCCCACGTGGTGGTTATGCACACCAGTTGCCCTTGTTCTCTATACCGAACTTCACCCTCTCATCCCCAGATGCCACTCTGTCTGTGGCCTCTGCTTGGCTTCCTTTTTTTCCCCCCAAATGGCCTGCGGGTGACCTCAGTGTGGACGGGGAGCGTGGGCCCCGAGAGTGGGGCAGTGGTCCGTGTCCGGTGTGGGTGGGTGGACTGACAGGGAGGCTGGCCAGGCCCTCGGAGTTGGGGGGCAGCCTGGGCGCAGGGGCTGATGGGGACATGTGGGATGAGACTCATTTGCCTCTAGGCTGTTTGGCTTTCTCGTGCTGTGGAGCGCTGCTCCCTGGGGGAGCCCGGCGGTGGCCTGTGGGGTGGCTTCCCTGGGGACCCAACACCTCCAGCTCAGACCTCCTCCTGGGCCGTCACCGTCTCCAAGGCAGGCCGTGTGCACACACCCCTGCATTTCCACCCATTCTGATCCATGAGTACGTGACTTCTCACCTGCAAGCACGGGGACACACACATTCGCGGCCATGTGGACATCACATTTCACAGTGAATCTGTGTGAACACACAGACACACACACCCTCTCGATTCACATGTTAACACACAGACACACACACATTTTCACACAGGGATCTGTGTGCACACCCCTCACAGGCACACTTGTGCATTTGCACATTCCCTCTTGTACGCAGCGACTTCCCCCCATTGAGCTTCCTCCCTGGTCTTGCCTCCACAGTGACAACGCCCCTGCAAAAGGAGACAAGAGCCCTTCGCCTCCTCCGGGTGGTTCCCCGGCCGCCGCCCCGGAGATCAGAGTCAACCACGAGCCCGAGCCGCCTGCAGCAGGGGGGGCCAGTCTCCCCAAGTCCCCGTCTCAGGTAGGCATGGTGCCCCCTCGTCCCCTCCCCCTTCTTCCTGCTTCACGACTCCCTCCTTCCCGGTCCTGTGTCCCCAGCACCGGCCGTGCCTTCTCTCGGGGACACCTGTGAGTCTGTGTCTCCCTCTGCTCCCCGCACCACCCCCTTCTTCCCTCTCTCCCTACCCTTGGGGCTGCCGACTTCCTCCATCTTCCTTCCCGCAGCCCGGGAGCATCCAGATCCACAGAGGCGGTTGCTTTCTCTCCTCCTCACCTTCTCTCTTGGCATGGGGCCATGCAGGACCTCTACAGGGTCAGCGGGGCAAAGGGCTCAGTGAGGGGACTGTGAAGTCCAAGGGGCACAGGCCCCAAGAAGTCTGGCCCCACCCCCAGCAGGTTTCTCCAGCTTTCTGCCTTGTCCCCAGGAGCTGGCCTGTGGCCCCGTCGGAACTGATAACCTCCCCCAGCCACCAGCCCCTGGCAGCAGGCCCCTTGCTGGTGGGCCGTGCCCGTCCCGCAGCTGATTAGGGTATAAGGGTGTGAAGAGTGTGACAAGAGCCCCACTTGAACAGCACTTGCTCTGCGCCCTGACACTGTGCCAGCACTCCCCACATTTCCATTCATTAAATTGTCACGGCCACAGCCGCCCAGTGAGGCAGATGCCCGCCCCACCTGACCAATGAGGAAACCAAGGCTGGGGGCTGCCGAGGCGCCGAGCCCCCCACGTGAGCAGATGCGTGGCCGTCCTGCCCTCTGCTGGGCCCCGGTGCCAGCCCCTCACTGGCCAGACAGAGCTCCTCCCGCGGAAGGGCAGACAGGGTGCTGGGAGGGCAGAGAGCCCAGCCTGGGAGGGAGGCTCTTTCTCAGCTACAGCTTCTCTCCTGAGTATCACCCAGGTGGGTGCCGGCCCACACCTCCTGCAGCACCCCTCCTACCCGGGCCAGCCAGCCTGCTGTTCCTTCTCTCTCCTCTTCTCTGTTCCCTCCCTGTCTCTCCTTTCACTCCCCCCGCCTTCCCTCCCCTCCCCTGTCAACCCTTCTCTCCCAACAGCGTTTCTGGACTTCCCTCCTCAGTCTCCCTCTAGAGGTGGCCCCGTGGTCCTGCGCCTCGGGCAGTGTCATTCTTTTCGTCTTCCTCAGTTGCCTGGGTGGGGCTGAGGCCTGGGGTGTGACTAACCGTGGCTTTGTCTCTGTCTGTCCCCCACCCCCACGCCCCGCTGTGCCTCGCTGTGCGGCCCCTCACCTGCTGCCGACCCACAGCTCCGGAAAGGGCCTCCAGTCCCTCCACCTCCCAAACACACCCCGTCCAAGGAGGTCAAGCAGGAGCAGATCCTCAGCCTGTTTGATGACGCGTTTGTCCCTGAGATCAGCGTGACCACCCCCTCCCAGGTCAGCTGAGGCCACCGCGGCCCAGCCCTCTCTTGCTCTTTCGGGATGTGCATGGCCTTCTTCCTCCATCCCATGCCCTGCGTCTCCACCTCAAGAGCCAGATGCTGGCCCAGAGGTTGGCCCAGAGCCTCCCCCATGCTCATTCATGCATCCCTCCCTCCATCCTCCCTCATCCATCAATCTTTGAGCATGTGCTGTGGCCAGATGCAGGGGCACAGATGGGTGGTCCTCGGGGAGCCCATCAGCCTCCCCTGGGGCGATGGCTGAAGAGGCATCAGTGGGGAGGATTCAGGCCAGTCCAGGAAAGCTTCCTGGAGCAGGTGACATTTGCTGGGTGGCTGCATGTTGCGTTAGCCAGAGCCAGTAGTATATGTAGGCCAGGATGGGTAGGACATGGGCTCAGAAGCTTCTAGGAGCTAGAGGTCAGTGTGTGTGCAGAGTGCAGCAGTGGGCAGTGAGAGGAGGCAGTGGGAACAGTTGGGAAGGCCCTGGAACATCTGGCCAAGGCACCTAGACCTTAGCTGGCAGATACACTGACTGGCCTCAGACCTGGGACGACATGGGCCACAGAGCAGGGCTGCTGCTTGGAAGTGCCCTGAAAAGGCACGTTGCTCATCCATAGGTGGCGGAAGGAGGGCTGGGCAGGAAGGTCACAGCGGTGGCCTGGGCACAGGCTGCGCAAGGTTGCGTGGGCTCGCAGAGGCCACAACGTGCTCTTTCCCCTGCACCTGGTGTCCAGGCCTTGAAGCCCGGGCCCTTCCCACTGGGGCCTTGCCAGTGGTGCAGGCTGGCCCATCCCAGGCTGTGGCTGGCCTGTGCCGGAGGGCTGCCATAGAGAGCTACTCTGCTCTGCCCGGGGCCTCTGGGCTCTGCCTCCTGCCCGCCCCTTGGCACAAGCTCAGAGGCCTGGGGGGGGGTGGGGAGGCAGGGCAGAGGGTGTGAGTGCTGAGGGAGAGGCAGCTGGGGGCCAAGGCTGGTGGTCTCTGCTCAGTGTAGGCTTCAAGCCCCAACAGGAGGGCTCTGAGTTAGAACTAGGAGCTTCCAATATGGAGTTGCTGGGGGACAGGTGGGCGATCCACTGGGTTGGGACCTGGGAGGCACAGGAGCCCCTCTCTAGAAGGTGGCTGGGGCTGGTCTAGGGGCGCTCCGAGAAGTGAGGACACTGGGCCGCGCCACCTCTGGGGCAGCTGGCTGCTGGAGCGCTGTCTCCACCCTGGAGATGCACACGAGGGACACAGGGGGACAGAACGTGAGGAAACACTGAGTAGGGCCTGGTGCCAGCCACTTATCTACACGACTTTGCTGGGTTTTCACCTACACTCTGGGAGGGGACCGTTGCCTCCCTTTAACAGGCGAGGAGCCCGCAGGCCTGTCTGGTGGCCAGAGTGCCCGCCCCGGGTATGTCAGCCTTCCTGTGCTCAGCGCATGCCTCCCTCACTACCCCTTCTGCCCTCTCCGGGGAGCCAGGTCTCTGCCCTGAGTGTGGGAAGCGAACACCGTGGGTGCTGTTGCTGGGGGCTGGGGTGGGCTGTCCGTGAAGCTGTGCTAACAGGGCTCAGCAGGGCTGAGGTGAGTAGCCTGCGTCCCTGTACCGAAGGACCATTCTGGTCCTGCATGGTGGGCCAGCTGGCCCGCTGGGAGGCACGGAAGGAGTGGTCTGCACTTTGGCTGGTGACCCTGTCCCCTTGGAGCACGAGAGGGCAGCTGTCTGGGCCTGAGTGACCTCGAGAAGGAGCTGGTGGCAGGGCTACTTGGGGGAGAGAAATACTACTACCAGCTGGGGGGGCACCTACAGGCCACGCACCCACAGTGTCCTGGGCACTCAGTCACTCAGAGAGGGCAGGGTCATGGGAACAGAGCAGTGGCCCCACCCTCAGGCTCATCAGACAGGGATCAGCCTAAAGAAACTCAGCTGGGGTGGGCCTGGGGCAGGGACTCGGGAGTCAGGGCCCCTTGTCCAGAGACAGCACTCAGCCCAGGCTCTCTGAGGTCTGTGCCTTGTCCCCTGGGCTGTGGGACAGCTGGCACCAAGGGTTCTCAGCACGGAGAGTCGTGGGTCTCTGCTGACAAACTGCAGCTCAGCTGTGAAGCCTGTCTCCCAGGACCCAGGTCTTGGGTCCTTCTGGAAGGAAGGCCTTGGGTGGACGCAGTGGGTGCCAGCAAGAGCGGGTGGACAGGGGGAGCTGGGCTGGCCTGTGTTGTTGGGGCCTCACCCCTCCTACCACCCGTGAAGTGGGGCCAGAGCCAGGCCAAGCCAGGGCCCTCTGCTCTCCGGCCAAGTGTTCCCTGGCTCCCAGAGGGAATCTGCATGTCTTCCGGGGGCTGGTGCTGACCCAGCCCATTCTCCTTCAAGGGCCGCTCTGCCACCATCGCCTGGGCCGGCTAACGGGGAGCTGGGGCCTCAGCCTGTGCACTCAGCCTCCTGGGGCCACGCCTGTTACCAGCACAGCCCTGGGCTGCACTTAGGCCCACTGAATAGGGGTCCCTGGGGTGGGGCCTGCGGTTTGGGCACAGGGAACCCAAGCTGAAGACTGGGCTCCGAGGTGGTGTGTGTGCCGGCTCAGCCCTGTCCTCGCCCTGTGGAGCTGGTGGGAGGGTGGGTGTCGCCACAGGTGACCTGTCTGTGTGGGGCAGCCTGGGGAGGCCTGTCCTAGGGGCCCTCTCCTGGTTAGAGGGAGGGCAGGGGACTGTGCAGCTTCTCGGGGGGGGGGGGTGAGGCTGGGAGAGCCTGTGGGAGCCTGTGGGTGCAGGGAGCAGAGAGGAGTCTGCACCTGGAGACCACTGCGGCCTGCAGGACAGGCAGATGGCCAAGAGGGGGCTGGCGACGGGCTGGTCCAGGGGGACAAGCTGCTGCTGTCGAGGGTGGGGGGACGTTGTGTGCGTGGAGCTCGCGGAGCCAGGGGTGTGGCGGGCGACGCCCTCCCGTGTGCGTGAGGCGCGCGTGTCCGCGAGCGAGCGCGCCTGCCGTGCGCGCCCCGGGGGGTGCGCGCAGCCGGTCACTAACTGCCTTCCTCCTCTGCCACGCTGCCAAGTTTGAGGCCCCCGGGCCTTTCTCGGAGCAGGCCAGTCTGCTGGACTTGGACTTTGACCCCCTCCCGCCTGTGGCGAGCCCCGTGAAGGCGCCCACACCCTCTGGTCAGGTTGGTCTGGGCCCGCCACCGCCTGCGGGCCCGCGGGTCTCTGGGGCACCGGGCCGTGGGCTCACGTCCGGCCATGAGTGCCCATCTAAGCCGGGCCTTCGGGGTCCTGGGTCAACAGGCTTTCCTCTCGTTAACTGCACTTCCCTGGCGCCCCAGCCCCCAGCAGACACATGCGGGGAGAGGGCCGTCAGGAGGAGGGGCAGCTGAACACTCACGTGGTCACTGACGGCCTCTGTCGGCACCCTGCCCTCTCCGGCCGCAGCTCCGTGTCTGGGCACTACTGGCCTGGGGTCTTGGCCCCTAGCAGGTGTCCAGGACGTGGCCCAATGCACACAGTGGGGCCTGGCTCCGTGCGGCCCCTGCCTGCTGGGCTCCAGGGCCTTGGGGTGGGGGTCACTGGGGTTGCTTGTCTGCCCCCTGTCACTAACCTCTGTACTAACTCTGTCCTTCTCCCCCTCTGCTGCGCCTAGTCAATTCCGTGGGACCTCTGGGAGGTAAGCTGTGTTTGCTCGGTGCCCACCCCCGGGGGGCGCCGCTCCTCCCCGGCCCACCCTGCCTGGTCCTGCACCTGGCGGGTTCACAGGTGCGGGCACACGCACCAGGGCCGGCGCTGCCTGTCCCACTGCCGCCCCTCTGCAGAGAAACTGCCCCGCGGCCAGGCCCCGCGGGGAAGGGGCTTCTCGCTTCAGCCAGAGAAGGTCGTCTGTGGTTCGGCTCAGCGGTGGGGTCTGCGAGTGGCTCCCTAGGATGGGTGTTGTGTCCTCGTGCTGGGCCAAGGCCCGCGAGGCAGGGCGGCCTTGGGGGTGGAGGAGGTCTGTGTCTCTGGGGGCCCCGCAGGGCACGGCATCGGGGAGCCGTTGGGATGGAGGGGGGGGGTGGTTCGAGGGACGGGAGAAGCAGGGTGAGGCCAGGAGCCTTATGTGAGCAGCCCTGGTGGCGCGGGCTTGGGGCCCCGGCAGCGCTGTGCAGCTTCTGCAGGAGTGGGAGCCGCTGCTGAGCACATTCTCCCAGGAGCTCCAAGGCCCCGAATAGTCTTAGGCTGGAGGAGTTCAGCGCAGAGCCCGGCGCAGGCAGCCATTTTGTTGAGGGGACTTTGGGGGGCGCTGTGGCTCATTTGCGCCTGCGCATCCCGGTGGCAGGCGTAGGCGCAAGGAGGTGGGCGTGGTTTTCCCTTCAGGAGGTCCGCGTGTGACCCGTGAGGGGCCTGGCTTCCCGCCGCAGGCGCCCAGTCTCCCCTCTGCCAACACCGGGCTGCTCACGACTCTCTCCTCTTGTCTTGTGTCCTTGCCCAACGCCCCCTCCTCCCTGGTCTCCCCCCCTCCCGCCCCGTTCTCCCTGGTGGCCCGTCACTAGCCCACAGAGAGTCCAGCTGGCAGCCTGCCTTCCAGGGAGCCCAGTGCTGCCGACGGCACCTTTGCCGTGGCCTGGCCCAGCCAGACGGCCGAGCCCGGGCCGGCCCAAGTAAGTGCCCCCCCCCCCCCCCCCCCCGCCTCCTCCCAGTTGTCCCCGGTCCCTGGGGGTGTCGCAGCGAGGAGGGGCCAGCAGGAGGCGACGCAGGAGGGACAAGGCCGCTGTGGGCCTGAGGGTGAGGTCAGGGCCGTGAATCCGCTGGCCCCTGACCCGCTTAGCCGGCTGCTCGCTGTGATTGAGGCCAGACGGGCCCTCCCTCCTCGCCAGCCCCGCCTCCCAGCGTGGGGGGGAGGAGCCTTCAGAGCGTTTCTTGGTCTGTGGCAGGTACTTTCCAGAGTTTCCTCATTTAACTTTCACCCTAACCTAGACGTTTCCTCCTTTTACAGATGAGGAGGTGGGGGCTAGGCAGCTTGAGCGATGGCTCCCAGGGCTCAGAAGTGGCCGAGTGTGAGTGTTGGCCGGGGTCAGCCTGACTGAGGCCGGCAGTGTCCGCTGTGCGGTGGCCAGGCCCCCCAGCATGGTGCCCAGCACTGTGCTGCCCCCCCTCCCCCCTTGGGGAGCAGGGGGCCAGGGCTGGGCCAGGGCTGCTTCAGCCTGCCCTGACTTGTTTGGCCCGGGACAGGCACTTGTTGCTGTCCCCGACCGTGCGGGTCAGCTGCCTCAGCCCGCTGGCCAGGCAGGTGGGAAGAGCCTGAGGTTTGGCCGGGCCCTGGGCTTGGAGGGCAGGGCCTGTGAGAGCAGGTTGGGGGGCGCCCCAGGGCCTCTGTGCTGCCAGCACCTTCTCCAGCAGCTTCCCGTGGCAGCGACCCGGCCTCTCCTCCGGGAACTCCCTGGACTGCCCGGCTCCCCACGGCCTTCCCCTTGCCCTGGCCACAGCGTCCGTCCATGTCTGACCCCATGCCGGCGTTTGTGTTGCAGCCAGCAGAGGCCTCCGAGGTGGCGGGCGGGACCCAACCTGCGGCTGGAGCGCAGGAGCCCGGGGAGACTGCAGCAAGTGAAGCAGCTTCCGTAAGACGCCAGGGACCAAGGCCCCGCCTTCTCTTCCCTGCTGTCCGCCCGCCCTCCCGCTCCTGGCTCCCGAGCCCCGTGCCTGCCTGTGCTCCTTGCTCGGTGCTGGTCCAGGTCGCAGTTCCCGGCGAGGAACCCGGAGGCAGACCCGTCTGGCGTCAGCCACAGAGGCCCTCCCCTTCCCTTGCCCCCGTGGCCCCTGCCCTCCGGGGACCCGCTCCCCGACCACGCTGACTGCGCTTCCTCCCCGCAGAGCTCTCTCCCTGCCGTGGTGGTAGAGACCTTCTCAGCAACTGTGAACGGCACCGTGGAGGGCAGCAGTGGGGCGGGACGCTTGGATCTGCCCCCAGGGTTCATGTTCAAGGTAAGCCCCGGCCAGCTGACCCCACAGCCTCTGCTGCCGTCTGAACCGACGGTGCCCTGGTGGTGGGGTCGCCCCCTTTCACAGATGAGGACGCTGAGCTAGGAGGCTGTGTGGGTTTGCCCCAAGTTCCCCTGCCCCCACTACCCCTGCTACCCAGTTGGCGAGGTGGCGTCCCGGTCCCCATGCTGCCACAGCATGCAAAAGCCACCGAAAGGCCAGGGCACTGCACTAGGTTGCAGGAGGGAACAAAGGCCTCTGCGGAAGGGGTGTTGAACTCTTCCCCAACCTCTGCAGGTACAGGCCCAGCACGACTACGTGGCCACCGACACGGATGAGCTGCAGCTCAAGGCTGGTGACGTGGTACTGGTGATCCCTTTCCAGAACCCCGAGGAGCAGGTGAGGGCTCTGGCTGGCTGAGGCGGGAGCGGCCAGCAGGGGGCAGCAGAGGCCCGCCAGCCACAGACCTGCAGGCACCGCGCCCGGCTGCTCTCCCCTGTAGCCAGCAGGGGGCAGCAGAGGCCCGCCAGCCACAGACCTGCAGATACGTTGCCAGGCTGCTCTCCCCTCCCGCTAATTCCTTTTCTCTGTCTTCATGCCCTTCTCCCCTGACTCATTTCCCTTCGCTTCACCTCTCCCCACTCTCTCTCCCTTCCCTTTGGCCCCTTTCCCGTGCCACCATGTGTCCCCTGGTCTCTTTCCCTGTCTCTGCCTCCTCTCTGTTTCCTTAGTCCCCTTTCCTTCTTCCTGCCTCCTCCTTTCCTCTGCTCTGCCTTTCAGTTTTTTGCCTCTAAGTCTCTTTCTCCCCTCCTCCCTCCCCTGCCGCTGTCCTCCACGGCCTCCTTTCTTCTAGGACAGGATCCCTGGCCGCCCCCTGTGAGCCCTCCTGCCTGGCAGTGAGCTGGCAAGGTGTCTGCTCTGCAGCCTCACATTGGGCCGCCTCCTCCAGGCTGGCCTTGCCCTCTGCCCACAGGGACGGCGTGGGGGTTCCAGCAGGCGCCCCTGAACACCCTCAGCTGTGTCCCCAGCTGTTTCCCTGGCCAGATACCTCCCAGACCCTTCCCCTGCTGTGGCTTCTCTTGGTTGGTTAGTCTCCCGCAGAGCCTGGGGCTGGTACAGAGCCGGGACTGCCCTCCAAATTTCCAAATTTCCCACAGGCTGCTTGGTTCAGACTGGGAGGTGTGAGTAACAAGGGCTCCCCTCAATCCCTGGGTCTCCACTCATGTCCTCTGTGGGCGAGCCCTGGGCTAGGTGGGATTTTAAGAAGCAGAGTCCTGGCCCCTGACCCACAGTGGGGGTCATGTGGGTGGGTGGGTGTGGGTCAGAGAGGACATACAGAGGCTCTGTGACAGGCAGGTAATGACACAACGAAAACCTAGGGAGGTCCCGGGCAGAGCAAGGTCAGTGGTGGCATCTGCCACGGCCAGGGATGTATGGCCCCTGTGGTTCTAGGGATCAGGGTCTGGGGCTAGGGACAGTGCCTGGGCTTGGGTAGATGGCCCCTGTGAGGGGTCAGTATGAAAGCAAAGGCCAGGTATGAGTCTGAGGGCTTGATGGGGTGGTCTTAGGTCACTTGAGGAGCATTTAACTGGTCAGTGCTCACCAGAAATTGCTGGTATTGTTTGTGGAAGTCTGAAAGGACAGCTGATGTGCTCTGTGAGCACCAGACAGTGGGAAGCTCCTTGGCCTGGGGTTCAGGGAGTCTACACACATTCAGACCAGTGCAGAAGTCAGGCTACCTTTCTAGAGAGAAGAGAACTCACCCAAATGATAGTTAAATACGCATGCTGAAGGGCAGAGGGCACCTAGCTTGGGCAGGTTTGGGTCTGGGATAGCAAGGAAGGCTGCCTGGAGGAGGCATTCTTGCAGGTGGGTGTGACAGGCTCAAGGAAATGATCAGGCAGAGGAGGGGACATCCTCCCAATAGATCCTAAGTGAGCCCGTGTCCAGTAGGGTTTGAGTGGGCTCGGTCCCCATCCCTGTGTGACCCGCGCCCCGCTTCACTCTCAGGATGAAGGCTGGCTCATGGGCGTGAAGGAGAGTGACTGGAACCAGCACAAGGAGCTGGAGAAATGCCGGGGCGTCTTCCCCGAGAACTTCACTGAGCGGGTTCAGTGAGGGCGCAGCGGGTGCAGCTCTCTGGGCGTGTGAAGAACACCTTTTCCCGAAAAATGTGTGTTTCTTTCTTTCTTTTCTTTCTTTTTTTTTTTCTTCCTGATTTTGTTTTTAAACTTTTGAAAAGCAAAGGGAAGTCAAGAGGAGAGACCTAAGCCAAGAGGTCTTCTCCCAGAGATTAGGGTGTTTTCCAAAGAGCCTGTTTTCGGCGAGTCCAGTGGAGTCACCAGTGCTCCTGAAGCGGCTGTGTCCCCTAGTCGAGTTCCTGCCACGCCCGCATGAGTGCCCGGCCGTGGCGCGGGGCCTGGCGGCTTGCTGGGGCTTCGGCCAAGCAGTCTGGGCAAGGTAGCTTTCTCCTGGCAGCTGCTTTGGGTAGGGTCGGGTCTCTGCAGAGACCTCGGGGCCCAGACATCAGCCTGGCCCGGCCCCGCCCCGCAGACCGTCTGTGTGCTGTTTGAAAATAAATCTTAGTGTTCCAAACAAAATGAAACAAACTGAACAAAAACCACTCAGAGACTGTGTGTTGGTTTCTTTGCTCTCCCTCCATTTCTGTCTGCAGTGCAATGGAACCGTGGTTACCTGTGGCTTTTCTACTGGGACACTCTGCCCTCCCCCCACCCCCACCAGGGCAGCTGGTGCTGGGCCAGGGGCTCCATTCTTGCTGCGGCCTCACCAGCTATGGTGTGCCCGACACTTCCTCTTGAGCCCCTCCAGGTCGTCGGGACCCACCGGAGCGCTTCAGCCCCTGCCCCCCGGCGTTTTTACCGGTGGTTGGTTGGGATACAGGTGACGGGGGCTGAGAGACGGAGAGGGGAAGGGGCTTGAAGAGCCAGCTGCATGCCACCCTATTTATTAATTTAATACATTGGAGACCTTGGAGATCAGGTGCCACCGACTCCATTTCCCAGATGAGGGAACTGAGGCCCAAGGAGGTTCAGTTGCTTGCTGATGAGCAGTGGGACTGGGTTCTGGACCTGAGCAGTCAGCCCTGGGTGCATGGGAAGGTCTGGGCCTGGTGGCGGGAAGGACAAGTTCAGCCACCCTGCTGCTCCCTCTTGGAGCTGCCTGCCTCCCTTTCCAATAGGAAGGTCCCCATTGCACGCAGCCCCATTCTTCAGCCCCTCCGTAGACTTGGGCTGCCCTGAGAAGCCTGTGGCATGTGCCTGTGGTGGCCTGGGTCCCTCCCAGAAGCCACTGGAGCTGTGCCCGTGTGCCCAGGGACCAGCTGGACTTCCAGGTGGAAGGGACTTCTCTCTACAGAAATTTGGATGGTGGTAAGAAGCCAGTGAAGGAGATGAACGTCAGAATCTTAGCTTTATTTTTGGGTAAAACCCTGGAGCTTTGCCTCAGGTGGCAGCATCGTCACTGCTGGGGCCCTGCCCTGTCTGTGGCTGGCAGTTTTGGCTCTGCCAGCCATAGTTTCTGTGAGCAAAGGGAGGTATGGGGCTCATTTCCAGTCACCCCTGCTTCAAAAACATTAGCTTTTCATTCCTTGTTCCGTTCCTTCCGTGTTGACAGCAATTGCTGGTGGAGCCAGGCTTGAAGCCCACTTGGTCAGCTCCAGTGTGCCTCAGAGCCTGGGGTGTGCACCCTGGGGTGTGGGGTGTGTGCCCTGGGGTATGGGGGTGTTCTCCCTGGGGTATAGGGATATGCCATGAGAGTCTTCATTTTTATTTCATAATGAAACATTAAACACATTATGCAGGAGAAAGCATTTACCTTACGTTTATCATAGCATGAAATTCATGGATGGATCAGATGGTGGCTTGGAGTGATACCCCCTGACTCTCAAGGAGGGTATCTGGGCTGAAGCCCCTGCATCTGGGCTGAAGTTGTCAGGAAAAGCCCTTCTCTGTATCACAGGAGTGCTCCATTCAGGCAGTAGGAGGAAGCTGACCTGCAGAGAGAGCTCCCAGAGGGAGGGAGCCTGGGTGCCGTGCCCCTGTCCAAGTGGGTAGGCAGTTGGCCTGAAGCCTGAGCGGGGCTAAGTGGGAGCTGGGGCACTACCAGGTTTATGTCCACCTGACAAAAATTAGAAATTCAGAGCCGAGCAGCACACACTTTGTCGGTGCTAATGGTCCCTCCCTCTCCATGCCCAAGGCCGTAGAATGTGCACACACAGTTACCAGGCTGTCTTAGAAGTTCCCAGCTGGGGAATTCCTTCTGGATTCCTCTCCCTTCTACCTGCTCCCGAGCCCTTTCCAGCGACCCTGACACTGGCCAGCTCTGGCTGGTCTCTTGCTTCTCATCCTTGGTTGGATTTGGTAACCACACTGGCCCTGACACCCTTGGTTCTGCCTCTGGGAATTTAAGTATTCACGCCCCTCGTGACACCCAGTCCCAAACACCAGGTCTGAACTGGGACCCTGGGACCAAACATTGGGTTCATTTGTTCAGCAAGCCTCGGCTGGGCGTTCTTAGCATCCAGAGTAGGTGGGCACTCGGGCTGCAGCTCAGGCCCTCCACGATGCCCTGGGGGCCCCTGTTCCCTGGGTGCTGGCTTCATCTTTGGACAGGGTCCCCGACAGTTCCAGGCTTGATGCCTGTGCACTGCAGTGTGCAGCAGAGACTTCCACAGAGAGCAAGTCTTCCTTCCCAGAAGCCCTCAGCAAGTCTCCTTTGTCTCATTGGCCTGGGTCCCCAGTGCTGAGCCAGTTTCTGCGGCTGGGGGTGGACCTCTAATTGGCCTCAAAATTACAAGACCTTAAACTGGAGGGTGGGACTGAGCTGCGTGGAGGAGGGTGGACACCTGAACACAAATTTGGCCATGGTTTCCAAGGAGAAGGGGGATGGGTTGTACGAGCCCAAACCAGTGAATGTGCACTGCGTGGTGTCTTCTAGAAAGGCCATGAGATCAGGGAAGGTGGCTGACGGAGGCTACCCGTGTGTGTTTGTAAGTGTGAGTGTATGTGTGAGACTTGGGAGACCCTTACTTTACTCCCTCCGTGCAGCCTAACTAGGGCTGACCTCAGAAGGGTCAGTGTGTGGCCAGGGAACAGGACCCATGTGGGAGTGTTCTTCCACGTTCCAGGAGGAAGTCGTCTTAACCCCCACCCCAGAACTTGTCCCACCATGGGAGATGGTGTAGACAGTGCACATCATTCCTCAGCATATGTGGTTGTATCTATACAGGAGACAGGTGTATAGATCCAGTCTCCTGAGATTTCATTCAGTGCCTCATTCATTCATTCAATCATTCACTCATTAGCCATTTCCCACACAGTCACTGAGATTACGGAGAAGATTCAGGCGTGGTTCCTACCCCTGATGCCCTCACAGTTTGGGGGGAAAGCAGGCAAGAACAGTTAGGACCACAGCAGGGGGTCTCATGGGGGTGAGTTCAAGGCTCTGGACACAAATAGGAGCTAGCCCCCCGGGGTCCTGTGGGAGGAGGTTCCCCGCTGAGCCTGTCAGGGTGATGGGCATCTACAGGAGCTGATGTGTGGGAGGCACGTCTCAGGCCGGGAGAAGCCGGTGGACCAGGAGGCAAGTCTGGCCAAGAGGGGGTGGTGGTGGTTGGAGAGGGCTGTGAGGGCTCAGGCTCTCCCTGGGGGGCCTGCAGCTCAGGAGAGAGGTGGAGACTGAGGTGGAGACTGTGGCCAGGGAAGAGATGAGGGCACTTGCGAGGTGTGTGTGTAGGGTGGGGAGGGTTGTAGAGGAGGCAGGAGGAGGGCCCCCGGGGCAGCCTGATCACCAATGTCAAGAGGGAGGAGGTTTCCAGGCAGGAGTGAGGACTGAAAAATGCTTTCTTTTAAGAAGAGCTTCTTCCTCAGAAGCCACTTATGGTCCATGAGGCCGGAGAGGGTGAAGGCGGTCGGGACAGCCTGCCTGGCCAGGGCTCCTGGGAGGGGCCGCCATGGGCCTGCTGGACAGGCGGCATCCCAGGCCCCACTCTGGCTGCGAAAGAGCAAATCCCTGAGGAAAGGCCCTTCTCAGCATAATTAAAGAGGATAATTAACAAGCAAGGAAGCACCTTCCTGACAGCCCCTGATTACAGATGAGGACCCCGGCTGAGGCGGGGGAGGGGGAGAAGATCCCCTCTCCCAGTCAGCCAAGGCCAGCACACAGTGGCAAAGAGGGACATTGAGTCTCACTAAAGGAAAGGCTTTGTGTGAGTCCCAGGGTGGCCAGTCCCTGGCCCCCCAGCCTGTCACCCCCCAGCATTTATCTCACATCCCCGCTGTACCCTGTTCTGTGTGACCTGCGGGCGGTGACCAGGAAGGAAGCAAAGCTCCTTCCCAAGAAGGTGAGAAGCCAAGGCTCACACACAGAACCACCCCAGAGCTAAGGCCACAGGATTCTTTCCTCTGGAAGCCTGATACAACACTGCCGTTCTTATTTTGGTAGTTCTGGAGGATGGGTAGTTTCCACAGTGTGGAATCCTAGGGAATTGCCTGGGAACTTCTGTAAGGTCGTCCTTCAGTATGAGCCGGTGACTGCATATCTATGGCTTCAGATGGGTGCCCTCACTCACGCTTCGGATGTATCTAAGTGCCCGTCTTCTCTGGATGTGCATGGGCATCTCAAGCTGTGTGTGCCTCTAAGCAGGGCTTATCAAACCTGGGGTATCCCCCACACCCCACTTCCCCCCCTGGGGCAGACACTGCTGGGTACCCAGCCAATAGTCAACTGTTTCTCTTCTCCAGCCAAACCAATTTCTTTCCATATTACCAATAAACTCCACTGAAGTCACTCAGCCTTCCTTGCAGCTACAGGAGGGGGCTTTCTGACATAGTCCTGGCCAATGAGATAAAGGAGGACACCCCTTCCCAAATAGCAAGTCAAAGCTTCCTCAAGACAGGCCCTTGCCTCCTTCCCGGCTTGGAATGAAGGCTGCAGGTACAGCACTATCTTGTGACCCCAAGGCCACACGCATGAGGACAAAGAACCGCTTCCAGGTGGGGGGATGGCGTCCCAGGGCTGTGCTCGTTCCAAACTGCCTGCCATCTCCCGACTTTGAGTGTGACACAAACATGCCCGTCCCATTTGTGGGGTGTTCCTGATGGCGCCACGCTCCCGTGTCTGTCTCTGTGCCCTCTGACTCCTCTTAAAGAGTTCTGAATCAGCCCACCTGCGCTTCCTCCTGGTTCAGGCT